GGATTCTTAGGGTATTAAATAAATATATGTTGTAAGTACAAAACATAGGCGTTATTGGTTTTGAATTGGACCTGATCGTTTTCCAGTTGTGAGTTGGCCACATACTTATGATCATATACAGCGGCTGGGCTTATCGGTTTTGAGGTGGACCTTATCGTTCTATGGGGGTTTGTGCACAAACCTAATTACCCCTCTTTACTTAAGTGGTCTTCCCGAAGTTTTGACCGTAGCTCATGCGCTTGCAGCCGCTGCTTCGCTAAGGGTCTATTCCGTTCCCTCCAAGTGAACTAACGCATCCTTTCACTTGTTCCAATCGCTGTTCTGCTCGCGCCTCCAAATTGGCGCCCAGCGTCTCTGCGAAGACTTGCTGCCTCGGGTGAACACAGAATTTCAGTCAAGATCATCGGAGTTCTTTGGAACCAATTATACAGGGAACATCAGTTGTCCGTGCCTTACCAAAGATCCACTGCAGATCTTCCAGTCAACATCCTTTGCCGCAAAAGCCTCCAGAAAAACTTGGTGACCCGGTTTAAAAGTATTTTAAAGAAACAGCGGTGTAATAGCGATGGCCTCCAATCTACTGGCGATGGCCTCCAACCTACTGGTGATGGCCGCCAACCTAATAGCAATGGCCTCCAACATCCTCTGCCCACAGCCCTTGTGGCAACCGATCTCACATGTCCAAGAGGCTCTGATGACCCTGCGTCGCCCAGCTTTGCAATCTTCTCCGCGAAGCCTTCTTCGAAATGAGCAAAACCGTGACCGGCCAGACTTCTTGTGACTCCAAGCAGATTCCTTTGCTAGTAATCACAAGTGCCTTACTAGTAGTAACAGGTGCCTTACTGGTAGTAACAAGAAGCTAGTAATTACAATTCTAATTAAAATCTTTTTGTTACTACTAGTAAGGAACTTGTTCCTAGTAGCGTGGCACTTGTTACTACTAGCAAGGCACTTGTTACTAGAAGCGATGCACTTGTTACTAGTAGCTTCCTACCCCCGGCCAGACTTCTTGCGACTCCGAAGGCCAGAAACCCAGAGGTGTGAGAAGGCCGGAGACTGGACATGTTCTTATCTCCACAGCGTTGTGTCTACTGTGCGTTCTTAGCTGCTTAGCCGCACGGCATGTGTCAGGTGTGTCTGGCTGAACATGTTCATCCAAGAATACACTTGAAGCATCCAGCTCGGTGTGAACAATTCCGAGAAACACGCAAACACCGGACCCACCAATCGCAGTTCAAGGACTCAACCCCCGACTTGTCGTGCGCCAGTCCGCACGAGCCCACGGCTACGAGCGAACCCCCCCAATTCAAGAACGAAGGCCCACCAAAGCAACCCTGTGGCGCTACTTTCTGCACCCAACCCAACAACAGGGTGTGCCAAACCCACTGACCACACCGCCGCTCCAACAACACCAACGGATCTCTCGGGATCGAACAATCCAACGACCGATCTCAGCTCCGCGCCAGTGGCCACGTCCTCCTGCCGTGGACAAAAGAAGCACCAAATGTTCTTGAGATGATCTCCAAATGAAAAAAAAAAAACATCTTCAGTATGATTCGTGGGGTGCCCTATTAGCATCCTGCCGGTTCCGGTGTGAGGCTTCTGGTGTGACATCGGGTCACTCGGGTCGGTCGTCCGTGTGGGGTCAGTCGGGTCGTCTGAAAGAACGATCCTCCAATCTACGAACGAACATCGATGTCAGTTGGACCACTCTCCATCTTCGGCAGCCAGTGAACCTGACAACTAAGTACATTTCTTTGATCCTGTGGCAAAACTCCTTTTTTTAGTAGTTATACCGTTATACCTCTAGTATATCTGCCTCAAAGCCTCTCAAAGCGACACCGCCGCGACACCTGCTCCGAGCTCGTTCGTAGCTGGAAGTTCACGTTCACTTCAAAATTCCCCTGAGAAAGGCGAAAACATGCGAAAACAAACTTCAGCTTTCACACCGTGGAGCTGGTCTTCACACCAATATCCACCCCTACGACCAATCAAGATGTAAAGCAGCCTGGGAGATGCCTGGAGCCCTGTTAGAGATGGCCTCCAGCCTCCAACCGACTTGCGATGCCCGAAATGCTCCGTTCGTAGCATCCTTGCTGCTAGCAGCGATGCCAGGAGCTACTAATAGTAGTGCTGGAGCCTTCTTGTAAGGGTTTGGATTTGCTGGCAACTTTGTTACAATCAAGGACGGTGAAACTGCATCACGTCAATCGCATCCAGTGAGCATTCAAAGCTCAAAGCATCTCACCCAAAGCAGGAGGGTTTGGAATGACCATCGAATACATGCTGAAACTGCCGAAACACCGATCATTCTCGTGTGCTGCCCAAAACTGAAGAATCTTCAAAGCAAAACTTCCAAGAAAGATCAAACAAGGTGGCCAGGACGCTACTAGTAACCAAGGGCATCGCTACGAACGAAGCGATCGGACGCTACCAGGCGGGGCGCTCCTGGCCTTGCTATGAGCAAAGAACGCTACTAGGGGCTCTAGGAACAAGAAGCTCCTAGGTGCTTCCCTTGGGCACCCGGTAGCATTGTCCATTGGGTGGGTCCCTCGTCACATGGGTCCCACGTGCTCACTGAGTGCCCCTGACACTTTGCAAGCGACGGGCGGCGGTCTCAGCGATGTGCGCTCGGGCAGGCGTGCCCGGAAAAACATGCCTCCAACCTACTAGCGATGGGAACAGATGGCCTCCAACCTACTAGCAATGGCCTCCAACCTAATAGCGAGGGCCATCAGGATAGCCAGAGAACAGCTAGAGTCTCAAAAGTAGTTGCATTTTGCTTGGAGTTTCAATGTTTCAACTCGTTTCAACATCAATGCTATGGAGTTTCAACGTAGTTCTACGTGCAGGTTTCTCTATAGAAGAACATTGCCTAGCAATATCGCTTATTGTGAGAACAAATGGAATCAATCAAGACTGGGGTCGGGTCAATGATTGAGCTATTCCTTGCACTTCCTAGCTGGGCCTAGCTGCTTTGCTGAACTCAACTAAGAACTTGGACGTGCATCTGTAGTTTCAATACCAATTTGCCATGGGTAGATTCGAAGGCTCTACCGTGTGAAAGGAACATGAAGGAGCCAAAGAGGTTTGGTCAAAATCGGGAACCACCGAAAGAGGAACTACAGGGTGGAGGCCATCGCTAGTAGGGTGGAGGCCATCGCTAGTAGGTTGGAGGCCATCGCTAGGGGTGGAGAGGCCATCGCTAGTAGGTTGGAGGCCATTGTTATTAGGTTGGAGGCCATCGCTAGTAGGGTGGAGGCCATCGCTAGTAGGGTGATGATCCTCTTTCGTTTTACTCTTTCTCTCCTCTTTGAATCGCATCGTGACCCGCTTCGAACGGCTGCGCACCCCGAGAGGGCGGCTGACGTCAGCCTCCGCCACCGATTCCAAGACTTGGATAAAGAGGATGATGATGTCCTGAGATTTTTCAGACACATTAAGGGTCTTGACCAAAGAACATATAAACAAACGAAATGAATCTCTTGGGACATGGTGGAACGGGCTTCCTACCCGGTACCCGGTGCCCAGTCTAATTACCTGTGTATGTTGGCAAATTTTAGGACCTCTCTATTTGTCCTGTACTTTGGCGCCATAAACTTTTGACCACAACCACGTGTGCGTTCGTCAATGAAACACTCCCTGCATGGTGGCTACATCTCCATATCCTGGACCTGCTTGTGGGTGCTCATACGCAATCCGAGCGATCAACACAATCCAACACTTTCAGGTGTTTCTGCACTTACAATTGGTCAGGCATCGATGTATACCAAAACACCAATACACTCAGCATACCTCTCAAGCCCAACAATACAGCCTTTGGATCCAAAGTGTCTTTTTGGACCCCATGGTTTGATTTGTTTCCAATCAGTAGTGCCCCGGTTTTGTACATCCATCCGCGGTTTTGTATGAAGTCCGACCCCCAAACACTGGCACTCCAACATCATCACTAAGAGTCCTCAAGCATCATCGAACCAGCGTCACAAGATGGATTCACCATAGTAGCGGCCTTGCTCCTAGTAGCGATGCCAGGAGCCCCTAGTAGCGTCCTTGCTCCTAGTGGTAAGGCCAGGAGCCCCTATAGTAGCTTCTTGTTGCTAGTAGTTATTCAATGAGGAACATCTAAACTTAACCTCCCTCAATTTCCTCGCTTCTCATATGCCACTTGCGCGTCCAACACGTCAACACTCCGAGGGCCCACCTCCTGGTTCGCCAGTCCCAGACTGGCTGCCAGTGTGGCGGCATAGGCCAGCTTGGTGCTAGGCGTGTCCATGGCTGCCTGGGGGTCCACTTCAGGAGTTGCCAAGGGAGGATGAATCACCCAAAACATGGGTGTTGTGTCTCTCTTTGGGTGTCTTTCACAAGTGCGGGGGCCATCAAAGACAACCGTTTTTTCGACGGAACAGTATAGAAAATTCATATCATGATAAGGTGCAAGATGGTTTGAAAGACCATGAAGACCATTGAACACCAATACAAGGGGATTTCGAGACACACTTTCAGAACATCTGAATTCTCTTCCCATCCTTGATCCAAAAAATGATCGATCCCCTTTCGATTCCAACACCGGACACCGTGCGGTGACGCGGCCTGGAGGTCCTCCTGGCTAGCGCCCTGGATGGTCGGCAGGGCGAAGGCCACCGCCGACTCCACCACCTTCACCGCCTGCGGAGGCGAGGCGCGGGGTGCGAGGCGAGGCGTCGGAGCCCTGCGTGGAAGAAGATCGGAGACCGTAGGAGCAAGGACACTACTAGGGGCTCCTGGCATTGCTACTAGGAGCAAGAAGCTAGTAGGGGCTCCTGGCCTTACTACTAGGAGCAAATACGCTACTAGGAACCGGTTCCCTTTCATCCTTTTCCTTTTCCTTTGTTTCTACTAGCAATGGCCTCCAACCTCATAAAGACTCCAACCTCAGTTAAAACATTGATTCATGAGGAATCTTCATGGGCGCTCATGGGTGCTCGGATTGAGACGTCCTCTCATGCGCCCAACTTGGCAAATGAAGCATATATTGGAAACTGGCTGATGCCAGTGAGTCTTGAACTTCACGAAGGCATGAGCCAATACATGCCCGGAACCAGCAATTGCCAAAGTGAACTGCCAAACCGAGGACTGTCCTTGCCCAAAACCAGCCAACCACCACTTCTGTGCGCCTGCTGCACTTGCCCCTCCTGCACCACCGGGCTACAGCCGGTGACATCCGTCAAAAGCACCGCTGCTTCGCAGCGGATGCCTTGTACGCGCATGCCGACTCCAGTGAGGTCCATTCAGTACGTGTGGCGCACCAAGTGCGAAGTCAGCATGGTTTTTGCGGCCATAAAAAGAATGCGACATGCAAGGTAGTTGGTATGTTGCACACAAACATACTAGCAAAACATGCATTATTGTTTCTGTTTAATATTGTTTAGTGAGAGATGTTCACCTGAGGAAGAGAGGGGTAAGTTCCCCCAGAAGTGGCAGTAGCTTTACTGGACCTGATCGAATACACCAAGTGAGATCACGTGGACACGACGGTGTGCGAGCGGCAGAAATGCACACCTTTTCTATGGCTGCGAAGTGCAGGTATTTGGCTTCAAAGTCTTGAGCCAAATGAATTACAGCGAAAGCTGACTGAAGAGATATATACAAGAACTGTCTACGAAGGACAGGCGCTACACACGTATAGCGTAGACACGCCTAGGGGAACCTAGGACACTGAGGGGGGGAAGGGGTGGGAATGTAGCGCGAAGACGCCGACGGCGATGGGCGTTGAAGGTCCAAGTTGTAAAGTCAAGCGAGTCATGGCCCAGGTGTTCGGTGCCTTGGGTGAGAGGTACGAGGAGCCCATGTAATAGAGGGTGTGGTTGCCATAAATTTGGGTTGTGACCTCAGACTTGCTACAAATCCTGGTGAGCCAGTAGTGGGTTCACAATCATGGTCGGCAGCGCCTTGTTGAGGACAGCAATCTCAAACCTGCAATCACCACACGGAGGTGTCGTGAGGGGAAAGTAGGTCGAGAGGCTCAGGAAGGGGCACGTCGTCATCCGAATTCGAGCCGAAAGGACCTACAGGAGGCAATGATCAACTGGAAGGAAAAAAAGATCCAAGACAGGTGATAGGGTCAAGAAACCAAAAAGGAGTGAAGAGAGAAGTGTGGAGCGAACCACTCACAACGGCTCAAAGTCAGTGAGTCTTTTATTCCGTGGGGTTCCTGCTGTCTGCATCATCCGAAAGTGTGAGAAAACGACATTGAGTGTGAAGTTGGGCACGAGGAAGATGGAAACGGTGGCATAGTTGGTGTAGAAGAGGAAGTAGTTGTCGCATCGTGAAGCCCTAGTCCACATATTGCTGGGCGAGGTCAACAAGTTGGGGAGTGATGAGAGGTCGTGGACGTGTCAATCGACAAATCAAGATTTTCCGGTGAAGAAACCAGCCAAGGCCATGTGGAATGATCCAGCGGTGCGACTGCTGCGAATCAGAGTCAGGTGAGGCGGTTGCCGGAAAGTGAGGGACCGCTGAGACGTAGATATGCAAAAGCCCAAAAGGACATCTTTAGGGACGAACTCCATTTAAACCGGGTTCCCGTAGAAGAAGGGTTGGGAGATCACGCGGAAGGAGTCAGTGTGCAACATATGTGCGGCGCCGATGAAGAAGACGTTGTCCACATACCGGGCACGAAGGGCGAGTCCCGTGGCATATCTCCAGGCATGAGATGGAAAGGGTCGGAGGAAGCAGTATTCTCGAAAGAGGGCAACAGCACTGCACAAGGCTGGGGCTAAAGGTGAGCCCATGGAAGCTCCTTGACATTGACGGAAGACTGTAAGGCCAACCGTGAAGTACGAGGTGGCAAGGACATGTTCCACCAAAGTAGGGAGATGCACGCAATCGAATGGAGTGATATGCACGTGAAGCTCGTCGCCAACGTCCACGGAAGATCCGTTGAAGGCGATCCTGGTGGTGTTGGGAGACACTGAGGACAGGGTCATCACTAAGGTCAAGGCCTTGGAGAGCGGCATAACGGTAGACGAGGAACTCAACAGCGGAGATCATCTGTGGTGGGTGACGAAGTTGAAGAAACCTGCAATATCCTGCTGGTAAAGCACCAAGTCATCGGCGGTGTCAAAGTTCTGAAAGAGCCGCCAGACGTACCGTAGTAGTTGGTGAACATCAGAAAGAGCGGTGAGGTCAGGGAAGACGATCTAAAGTAGGCAGAAAATGGCAGAGGCCACAGTCTGACTGAGAGGGGCGCTCACAGTCTGTGACAGTCTGTGTACGAGAACGCTTGGGCAAGATGTAGGCTGATGGTAGCCGCTAGCCGCCGATCCCAATGGAGACCCCAGCGATATCGATGCAAGAGAGCCGGTGGCCAAAGTTCCCGGAGTCGGGTTCAACAAGATGCCATGTCGTAGTGGTTGGAAAACGGGTGAGGTAGTGGTGGGAGAGGGGAGGAATGTTTTGCGTAGAAGGTGGTGGTAGTGAAAGGGGCAGGAGAGGACCGCAGTATGTGGGAAGTGGTCTGCAGGGCCGACAATGAAGTGCTTGGTATAGCGACGGAATGCTTGAAGTTCAGGGTGGGTCCAACTCGAAGACGGACTGGAGGAAGAGGAAAGATGACCTTCATGAAGTTGCCACTGTCGTCGAAAGAAGTCTGGACGTGAGAGGAAAGGCCCCAAGCGCGTAGCCATTTGTCGAGTTGAGTAACAGAGTGATTCAAGAAGTGACGTTCGTCGGGCCAAACGGTATCTTGAAGGTTGGCTTCAGAGAGCATGAGACCGGGGAAGATTCTGAGGCAAATCCAATGACGTGGCCGGAGTCAGGATGTCGGCAGAAATCTGATCGAACCAGGTGACAGGAACAACGAAGGTCCATGTCAGGTTCCCAGCGTCGCAGAAAGTGGCGAAAGTTGAAAACGTAGTGTTCGAGGGTGTGGGCCTTGACCTCGATGATGGGTGAAGCGCGTACTTGGAGGTGGAAAAAGGTGGGAGTGAGCTTGTAAAAAAACACGAAGGAATTGGCGACTCTTGAGCCAAAATGTGACATGGGAGTTGTGATGATGTATGTGCACCCAAGCCTGCCCTAAGCTCAACACAACTATAAATAAGCAGTTAAGCTCACTCAGTATTCAAGCAAGGGACGCCCCAGGAGGTGGCCCAAACATATTCAGATTTTTGCTCTTCGGACAAATACGTCACATCAAAGGCCTCGCGACGAGCCAAAAGAGAAAAACTAGAAGCCGCACACCAAGGCGCGCGACTTCCAATGAGCATTCCCTTCGCAAAGTTCTGGCCCAAGACATGAGAGGTTCCAGCCTACAAAGTATTCTTAAACACTTGAGGCCGAGAGTAGGTGACGAAAGCTAGCAGGGGTGCATCCGGACTGGTGGGACATCAAGCGGAGTGAGGCAAATGCTCATGAGGTAAAACGTTGTGAACATGTAAGACACACAAACAGCAATGACACAGCCAACCTTAGAATTGAAGTCCCCGATAATTAAGGAAGCGTGGCTGGACTTTGCCACACTGTTCGATGCATCCGATGTGTTCACGAACCTGTGAGCTTGTTGAATCTGTTGCACCGTATCCCAAAACCTCTACGGAGGAGTTCAACCAGTGTGGATGCCATAAGAGGTGCCCAGGAGGTGTCCCAGAGGCAAAACAAAGCTGCTTGCATGATTTGTTTGGTTTCTTCTATCGATGTCGATGTCATGAACATGTGAGCTTGTTGAATCTGTCGCACCGTATCCCGGAGGAGTTAAGCCAAAGTGGATGCCATAAGAGATGCCCGAGAGGTGTCCCAGAGGCGTCCGAGGGGGGAGTTGAACCCACGGGGGGGGGGCCCCCCTACATATGAAGTTTTCACGTGATGCGGCGATCCCGAGGATTCCAGCCCCTCACTTGCTAAAGCAAGGACAACTCCAGCTAGCTGGTGCTAGCTTTCGTGATCAGCAAAGAACACATTCTTGGTTTCTCACGCTCCTGTATCGCCATTCCATTCGGAGTCAACGCATAGCAGAAGACATGGTGCTTCTACATTCTACATCAATTTTATATTGTCTGCAACCTCGAGGGTGTAGGTCTCTTCAGCCCCAGCGAATCTCTCATTGATCGATTTCGGCCCAGGGATGATAGGCAAGCACAACTCATCCTTGAAGCCCCAGGGCATCTGCTAACCCTTTCAGCCAAAAGTGGCTAACACTATGTCACTGTGCAAGTGTGTTCAGTGCAAGCGCTCCTGCGCTAGCTGTAGGTAGACATCAAGAACTTCTCTTGCATGGGCATCGGCCTGCAAACTGCACTGTGCATGCGCAGTTTGAGATTATGGGTACGCAGGGGAGAAGTGAGAATGGGATAAAGGCCTCTTCGGATGATGCATGGGCAGTATGTCCTTCTTGCCACCTCTGTTGTCAAGTTTACTACACGAGACGATGAATCGCAACAAGACTAGTCGTTGCTAGTCGATTTGGAGAACAGAAAGACTACACATAAACTGGAGAGCAACAGGCCAGTGGTTCAAGAACTCCGAAGTGCGCAAGAACGGCCGTGTCCTTGGAGTGCCCAAGCTAAAGGTCAACTTGTTTGCGTCCCAGAAAAGGCTTCTCTGCAACAACCAACGCTTCTCTGCCTCATCTCCCAACGCATGACAGTTGCCACTGGTTTAGCTTCAAAGGCCTCCGGTCATCGATCGTCAGATATCAGCTGAGTCTTGCCATGTTCCAACAGGTCTTGAGAGCCAAACAAGTCTCTGTAGCTGCTAATCCATTTGCTGTACATGTGCCACACCTTGCTGTATAAGTGAAACATCTCAAAAATCAGTAGCCTCCGGAAATGCTGGCACAAATCTCAAGCTAGACTTGGGATCCACAATCTCACGAGTCACATGTCTTGAATCAAAGTTGTAAGACTCAAGAACTCAGGCTCCAGCCACAGTTTCAGATGTAGGGCGTACCTTTGCATGACAGCGTGTGAGTGTGTCCGCACATCACAGCACATTGGTCAACTAACAGGTTTGGCAAGGATGATGAATGAAGCAATCAACCAAGTTTCAATTGCTGAGTGTTTCAAGCTGGATGAATTTCCTCAGCTCAAGCGTTTGCAATAGCACGCTCAAATGCTAAGAAGAAGTCAAATTGCTTGCAAAATGACAAGAGAGCAGGGAAAGTTCAAGTTTGTGCCAAGCGTGGTTAAAAAAAAAAACTTTCTCTACTGTGGAACAAGTGGTCGTAAAAATCTTGCTCCAGGACAGGAGGCAAAAGCTAAAGCAGTCTGGAGCCTGTGCAGGTTAAAGGGTCAAGGATTGGGAGTGGGAATCCATTCAAAGACAGGTTGCTGGGACAGCCTTCGCGGACTCAGAAAACCACAACCCGATTGCATGATGATGCCATGGTAGGAAGTAGCTTTTGCAGGGGTGCCTGAGTTGGCAACAGCCAATGGGGACCTCCTTTCCTTGTGCATTGCGAGGGCGCAACTGAGGGGGTATATTGGTAAGGGAGTCACGCAGATTGGACAAGGTAGTCTGGACGAGGACTCCAGGGGTCACTATGTCAAGTGCCAAGCAAACTCTGAACAAAAACAGCTGGAAAGACATGAAGGGAGGTCTTGCGGGGGAAAGCAAGATATTCTGTTGATAGTATGCTCCACCAAACACTCGTCGAATGCGAATGCAAAAGCACAAGGAAAAAGAAAGGAAAGGGAAAGAACTGGCGCAGAAACACAAAGAGGATCAGGTGCGCAAAGGCAACGCAAGCAACATGTGTTGAAGCGCGATACAGTGAAACTGCCAACACCTCATATTAGTTTGTGAAACTTTAGATCTAAAAAACCACTGTCAATATGAGCGACAACATTGTGGATAAGTTCCTAGATGCACGCCTTTTCATCTACACATCTGGTTCTCTGAACATGCAAAAGTCAACTGCCTCAAAAAGGAAGAACAGCATCCAAAGCGCTGAAACCTTACTCGTTCTGTGCCATCTAGTCCTTTTGAGAGTGTAGCAAGGGCGGCCTCATTTTCCGCGCAAACAACCAAATGCGGATGGCCTTGGGTGAGTGGCGGCTGCCCGTGCACGTTAGTTAGTGTATGAAGGTGACATGATCAACCCCAATCTCAAGATGCGCAAATGATGCATACCTTTCGCCCACCTCCTTCGCCTCATTTGAAGAAGACGTTCCTTTCATAATATGTGTCTACACCCACTTGATACCACTTCACTGAAATCTCGATGATAAGTGGACGCAAGGATTGGGATTTGACCTCAACGAGCGCAGCGCGGTAAAGAAATCGCCAGTGTGCTTCCGCTGGCTTTCGTCCTCTGCTTGGCCTCAAGTCCACATATTCGCTGACAAACAGATTTGTGGAAAAGCGTTACCTCGTGTAAGTTGGAGACATGCACTTGAAATTGCATGCTTGTTAACCGATAAAGTTGTAGATGGATCAATCAGAGACTCGCGTCCAGCTTGGGAAATTAATGGAAATGCTCACATGGGCCAGTCCCAGCCACTGTCCGAACTGAAGAAACCCCACGTGTTCCAACATATCTGAGGTTTTCTCTCTGTTGATTCCCACAAAACCTCACATCGTCCACAAATGCTGCCACATCTGAGGCGTCAGCTGGTGCAGGACCTGCAAGATACTTTCCCTGCAACCGAATTCAATACTTAAACTTGGTTCCTTTCCTCCCCAGGTTTCTTTGCCCTGACAGCTTCGCTCGCGCAGTCGCGCCTCACCAAAGAGGAAGGAGCAGCAGAAGCTCAGACACTGAAGTGCTGGCCATCCCTGCGACAGTAGAGACGTCCAAAGGCTGAATGGATCAAGAGTTCCTTCATCTTCAGCCGAAGATCGTAGCCGAAAACGATTTCGGATCGACGTCTTCCCAACTACTGTATATCCCGGTATTTTTGAACGTGCGGAGCGAATCACTGGCAGCTTTCGAATAAATGACCCCATGACAAGTAGACAGGACACTGAAAAAATATGAACTTCCATCACCGAATTAAATATGAACTTCCATCACCGAATTAAATTCAATGACCGATTCCAACGAGTCCTTGATCTTGACCGAGCCATTGATGACTCAAACCGACCTGAGACCAACGGCCATTGACTCAGCAACCACCGAACCACCCCAAATGTTCTGTCAGATATGTCGAACTGCATTCCGCACCGAACTGCAGAAGTCTTGAACCTCAGACTGAAGAGATGGTAAAAGTCATGTGAAAAGAGTGAAACAGCTTCTTCATGTGTGAGACCAAACGTTCGAGCATCGCACCAAAACCGTTCTCCTTGCAGTAGCAAGACTGCAAGTTCAACCCCGCACTACTGCAAAATCCCAAGCTCTTTCCCAATGCAAAACTTTCGTAAGATTGCAAACACATCCGTTTCGCCTTCTCGTTTGGTGGGGGTCTTCGCATGCTTCTCACCACCACACAAAACACAACCCAAGTTCTCTTTATGGACTTGGAAGGGAGATTACCTGCAATTGATCTCCAGTCTGAGAATATTACAGCTGATTGGACCTCCATCCTTTCTGCTGTGAAAACAAGGCACAACTCTCCACCAATAGTCCAGTCAAACACCCACCAGCGGCGCCATGAGGCAGGCTGCCAACAGCTGGGCGGTGTTTTTAATCAAAACCAAGTCGTTTGAAGTGGCTTTTTCCCACCCAGCGACATTCCAAATGAATGAAGAGGCCCCAGGCTGTACAGGTCGCATATTGGTTGGAACCATTTTGTGGGGCCTGAGCGGAAATAGGTTTTGGGATGTTTTGGGCTCTTCTGATGTGCAGGACCACGTTGCGGGAAATAATACACATGTCGAACCTAAGCCAAGGGTCAGTACTGCAAGAGTTCGGACACAAAAGAGAATATTAATGAAACATGAGGGACATATCATATCTAATTCACTAATTGACCCTTGTCCATCCTTTTTACACTCACCCCCACAGGCTCTTTGGCAAAAAAATGTGACCTCCATTTTCCATTGACCAGGCGAAGGTTCTGGGACCCATGTGGCATGGGCAGTGGGCATGTCCACCAAAATAACCATCGGAACGCTGGCCACCACTTTGTTGGGCTGAGCTACTCTGGAAGCCACCTCTCTGGCGGATCTTTCGTTATCTACACCTTGGAAGACTCACATGGAACCGGCAAATGGAGTGTTCAGGTTCCATGTTAATCTTCCACAATTTGGCACAAAATTTATCAACTTTCCCGTAAGAGGAGACCTCATAATATCTCATAATTCAAGTTGGATGAGCTCAGACCCCAGCCAAAGCAGCAAAGCACCCACGGGCCAACCTCTTGTTTGATCCTTGCCATTCGAAAAAGGAAGCGCATCAAACACCATGTCCGCAACTTTGGCGGATGCTTTTTGTTGCGGGACCAGTCGTGGTTTGTTGCGTGCTCGGCCGATCGATGGAGTGTTCGGTGGGTGGGTTTGACGGGTTGCAGCTGTTGACGTCCAAGCACTAGTGCAGACCTACACAGTGTCTGAAGATTCTGGGCAAAGCGCTGAACACGATGATGACACATAGTCTGCGAGTGAATTGAACTTCACCACGCAAAAACAGCCCTGTGGCCTCAAAGGTGGCTCTTAAAGAAACTGAGCTCGATAGGGTTGAGAAACAGCATAGTTGATTGATGGTTCGGTCCCAGGACAATTTAATTCTTCCCATGTTGAAACCAGGATGAAAATATTTGTTGCAGCCCCTCAGCTGCGGCACAAGATTTTCTCAGGACACAGGG